GTCGTAGTAGCAGTAGCAGTAGCAGTAGCAGTAGCAGTAGTAGTAGTAGTAGTAGTAGTAGTAGCAGTAGTAGTTAGTAGTAGTAGTAGTAGTAGTAGTAGTAGTAGTAGCAGCAAGAGTAGTAGTAGTAGTAGTAGTAGTAGTAGTAGTAGTAATCGTAGTCGTAGTAGAAGTAGCAGTAGTACTAATAGTAGTACTAGTACTAGTACTAGTACTAGTACCAGTACTAGTACTAGTACCAGTCCTAGTACATGCCCTAAACCCTACACCTTGGTACTGGTCAGGAGAATCGCAAAGGTCCCAGGGTAGCGAAAACTCTTTCCGGGTGCCTAACATCACTCCTGCATGAACAGCACATGGCATCTCAAATGCTGCGGCCTTTGCTGACATGTAACGGCCAAACTTGCATTGCTGTCTTCGGCCAGCAGTTCGCGTTGAAGATTCTCCTTCGTTGAAAGATGGGCATGGATGGCTCTGATGGCTGTCTAGAGGTCTCGGATGTCGCCACGAAGATTCCCTTGTCTATGTAATGTTTGAGAATTGTTCTGATGGGTTCTGGAATTGGGAGCTCCTGTGATGCCTGCAACAGTGATGAAGGTCGCACACCGCCGGCGAACAAAGGAAACGCGCTCAAAAGCAGCAGCTGTAGCCAAGCCATGCCGCTGTGAACACGGGAAGGACTGACAATAGAAAAATGAAAGCTACTCAACACAAGGCTGCAGTGAACATGCGTCGCAGAATCATGTCTGGACGGATAGGGTAAGTCAATCGGCAAAAACAACTTCAAACACTTCCAAGCTCACGGAAAACCTAGCTGAAGAGCTAACTTCCAGCTTTCTGAGCACATCACCGATGAGTTGGGAAAGCCATGCTCAGGCTCAGACGCTCCACTTCTGCAGCCTGTGTTCCGGACTGCGTACACCAAGATACTGCAGTGCTTGTCACGAGCAGATTCGGCATGGTTAGAGAACGATGGAGGCTCGTTTCATGGCACGGGCAAAGATGAACATCGCATGTTGCACGTAACCCAGGCAAAAAAAGGCGGCGATCATCTAAGGAGCTCGTGCCTGCTCTTACCCATCGAAGCATCCTCATTCGCACTGCCATTGCCTAGTTGCCTGGCTCTCCTAGCTTGGACGTGTGCCTCTTCGTTCCAGTAGGACGTACTACGGCACTATTTCCTATTCTTCCTATTCCTACGAGAATTGCGATTTCAACCTTTAATGACGACAGCCCCCGATTCCAGGGCCCTGGCGGAACCCTTGAGCTCCTCCAGCTGTGTCGAGATGGAGGCCTACAGGGAGCCATCGCCACGCAAAACTGTGGGAGATACCGAGGTGCAGAGCAAGCTCGCAGGCAGCGACCGATGCCTTCTGCTGCTTCAGCTCGTCTCGCTTCTGCAGAATCTTCTCCTCCAAGGCACTGCATGGCGCAGCGACCCTCAGGGCCCGTCCAGATCACGAGAAACAACCCCGAACCCAAGCTCAGATCTTAGGAGTGCCGAAGCTGAAGCCGGAAGGCATGCGAACAAGGAGCATCCTATGGCCACTTGACGACGCCGTTGCGGACTAGCATTACCATCGACAGCAATGTTTTGAGAATTCGTTCGTATTTTCAGTGCTTGGTACTGTAGTTGGTAGCTTACCGATCCCCCTTCCGATGCAAGGCCAAGCCTTGGCAGTAGGGTTCGCCCTCTCCTGGCCGCAGTCTTCGGGTGGAGTCGGAAGAGCACTTCATCCCATTGCCACCCCATCTCTTTTAACTCGTCTGCCGTGGAGCTATTGTATACCGTTTTGTTTATCTGGTAGTCAAGGTACTCAGGCTGTATGTAGATGCAAAACTCAGTCTCAAAACCTGTGGTAGTTTCTGCTCTATCCGAAAGCACATTGCAGGATGCCACAAGACTCGGAACCAATGAAACCATTCGTTCACATCTGGTGACCGAATGCAAAGCAGGTCGGGCAGGCCATGAATTGAGGCGTGATCTTTTTCTCTGTGCTCTCCAGCATGGCCGACACCTTGAATTGTGTGGTCACTGCAAGCAGAATCAGAACAGACATTAGAGAGATGGACCGTGCCTCTACACCACGAGAACCACTCCGGTGCAAGATGCATCTCTCGGAAAGCGACATCTTAAGAGGGCAGGGAATGACAAGCGCAAACCCTGGGAGTGTGAGCAGGCCGAGAACTCGTACCAGTACAGGAGCCACATCAGCAAATTGAGCCCCGAAGTCTAAACAACCACTGTGCAGTTAGGCCTGATCCAGCTGCTTTTGCAGCCGCTGCAGTTCCTTGTGAGGTGATCAGTCAATGTTGGAGTTTACAAGCCTCCCAGCATGTTTTCTAGGACCTTTGGGCGTTGGTCGAAGCTTTCACTTGAAAATGGTCCGAGTCTTACTAACTTAGGAGGAGCTTTACTGTGTGCATATACATCCCATCCACAAGATGCTGTCAGAGACTTTTTGCGTCTGATCTCAGCCCACAGCTTGATCTGCGGCAGAAGTGAGCAGCTGCAGGACATCTTCAGTGTACTTCTCCCGGAGCTCCGTCGAGGCATCAGCTCGGCTCTCAAGGAGAAGCCGGAGCACCTGGCTGTGGCCGTTCCTCGCCGCCAGGCGCAACGGCCGGGCTCCTTGCCAGTCCGGGCGGTCGGCGTCTGCAGCGGCGGCCAAAAGCAATGCGACAGCGCCCGCGAGGCCTTTCTCCGAGGCAAGATGCAACGGACTGGTCCTTCTGAAGTCAATCACAGCCCTGGCCTCGAGCAGTCTTGAAATAACATCAACATTGTCTCCATCAGACATGGCCGCAACGAAGAGTCGCCATGATGCACCCTCCTGTATGACCACATCCAGCTCAGCACCGAACTTCAGCAACGAGCCGAAGACCTGGTCTTGGCCTTTTCGGCTGGCCAGCTGCAAAGGCTTCGCAGCGTCGAAACGAGCTGCATTCACAAGAGCTCCTGCTTTGAGAAGCATCTCGGCTAAGAAAGCATCCCCCGTCTCCGCAGCAACGTGCAGAGGCATTGTGGGCTGGGAGTCGCTAGTATTCACATCCGCCCGAGATTCAACAAGGAGCTGAACACATCGGTAATGGCGATTGCGAACAGCACTCATCAAAGGGCTTGCGCCTGTCAAGTTGCTTTTCTCGACATCAGCCGCAGCACCAATCAGTACATGCACCATTCCATCGTGTCCCCTGTCTGCGGCCACGTTTATGGGGGTGAACCCTGCCTGAGTTGTCATGTCTATGTCGCTGTCAGCCTCCAAGAGCAACTTGGCAATTTCTTCACGATTGAATTTACAAGCATCGTGCAATGCCGACCAGCCATTGTAACTCACAACATTCGGATCCTGCGGCTGAGTCAAGTAAGCCACGACATCCTCGACACGGTTCTTCTCCACGGCCTGCTTAATAGCAGTATACCCTGCTTTTTCTGATTCTCCAGAGCAGAAGCTCTTCTGCAAAAGCAGCAGAACTCCTGGAAAATGAAGCAGCTGTTCGTCAAGCAGCTCTGTGACATCCTCACTTCTCGTGAGGCTTTGCCTAAACCGTGAAACTCCCGTCAGTTTGTGCAAATGTTTCTTCAGATCTCCGACCGTCTGCGCTTGCTCGAAAGAGAGCTGCTTTTCGTCCAGTGATGCCACCAGGTTGCCACTCGCTCTCCACTGCACTAGCAACATGCTACTAATGCAACATGCAAGGGTTTATAGGTTTAGGGTTTAAATTTACTAGAAGTCCGGACCCGGAACAGCAAGTGTGCTGCGGGAGATCGTGGCATACATGGAGCCGCACTTTCATGGTGGAGAAGAACATCCGCGAAACCTAGCTCGACCTAGGTACCCCACTTTGACATGTAAGAAAAAGGGGCTCTAAACCGCATATAAACCCTAAGTGCGACATCCCAAACCCTACAGCCCTATTCCTCGAAAGGAACTAAGCCCCATTCAGCCCGTGGGTCCTTTTCCACATCGATCTCCTTCTTCGGCACTGGCATGTCCACCTCCGGCTGCAGGGCTTAAAGTTTAGCGTCTGGGGTGTTGCCAGCCAAACGCTACACGAGCTTCTCTTGTCCACAGCCGCCTCAATCTCTTCGGAAGCCACGATTCGAATGCAGCCTTCCGGCCTGGGCTGTTGAAAAGCTCTTGATTGCATGTCCCCGCAACGTCAACATGTATTGCGCAGAGCAGACTGCGAAATTGGTGCAGAGACGACAAGTCAAGCATAAAGCTTACATCAGCTTGGAAAAAACTTGGCAGAGAGTGGCGCCATGTCAAGTAGCAGGACTCGAACTGATAGGAGGTGTTTGCACTGTGGAGGCGTTGCGGTGTCCGAGCGGCAGTCGGCCAAGCAACTCTCGCTGCTTCCAGAAGCAGCAACTACTCAGATACTGTCACTACATGTCACTACTGTAATCCCTTGGTCTGTGGCTCGCAGGGTGCTGCGAAGCTGGTGTGGCTACGCGGGAGTTGCGACGCTGGCTGCTCCGTTCAAAAGAAGCACCGCGGCGAGTCCAAGGACTTCGGATGAGGCTCCGAGAAGTCTTCCAAAATTGCTGTCCAGGCCACGTCTCAGCCGGTCGCTCTTCCATGGGACGAGCCTGACTTGATCAGAACAAGAATCTTAGGACTTAGGATCACCTGAAAAAGCGACCCTCTTCCAAGGTTAGCTCCGGCCCTCCGAATACAAAACACCACCGGTTTCCCTTCCGTTACAGCCAACAAATATTACATTCCAAGACCAGCTGGCACCTCGATCTGGTCGGGATCGGCTCGTGCAAGCCAAGACAGGGCCGAACCTAGCCCAGCGAAGAACCGACAGTAGAGTAGAGTTTGGAACTTCATCTCTAGGGTCTCGAGGGTACTTCGGTAATTGGCTTTGCCTCAAGCTTTCTCGGCTGCTGGAAGTCGCAAGAACATGCTGGTACAGGGCTGTAGGCAGCAGTATCTAACATTACAAGCATACGGTCCGTTTGCTGAACATGGCGGTGCAAGAATTTGGGTATGGCCATCCGTGTCTTGGCAACCTCCTTTTGAAGCTGGCAGGAGCATCAGGCATGGCCAAGCACGTTAGCTCGAAGGCTGTTGTGCAATCATATTTCCTCTTCCTACGCCATACTTCAAGTCAACCAAGAACTGTTGGCACCCCTTCCGGGCAGACGACGCTCGCTCTGCAGGGCTTCCTGCACATCAGAATGCAGCTCAGGAGACGCGTGGGTTGAAGTCCAGGGCGCGGGATCTGGTAATGAGGTGCACGAACCGAAAATCAAGCGGTTGAAGATCTTATGCGTTTTGAAAAGGCAGTGCGTGCATAAGGCGATGTTCTGCTCGTTGAAATATGCTGAATAAGGAGGGCAAAGGCATGGGATCATGTTCTGTGGAGGCTTGCAAGCTTGAGGAAGACAGTCACTGCAAGCTTAACATCAAGACGTGCACGTCCTTCAAGACTTTCAGAACCAGCATTCATTTCGTTTAAACGGCGGTTGGAAGAGGTGCCCCACCTGGTAAAGTCGGCCTGGGGCCCGGCAAGCATGGAGCTAGATCGATGCCCAAACCGGCGGGGATTTACATGGTTCTCACAACTTCTAAGATTCTATCTCCATGGTCGCTATATATCTTGTGGTCAATCCCCTCACTGTCCTCAGCGTCATCCTCAGAATGGTCATAGTCATCATCATCTTCCTCCTCATCATCGCCGTCATGGTCATCGTCGTCGTCGTCAGCCCGCCACTTGCCATGAAGTGTCCCCAAGAGCGGCCAGGGGCCTGAAATCCGGCGTCGGAGCACCAGAAGGTCAAGGGCAAGCGCTCCTCGGGAGGAGTTGATCCGATCCGGACAGGAACAGATCCGAGTTTGAGTCTTGTGAGTTTTTGTGAGTAGACAAATCCGAAGCATGTCGGGTCGGCAAGGGCAGCCGGTGCGGCTGCGATGCACAGATCGCTACTGCTGTAAGTTATCCGGGCAAGCCCTGTGTGCGGCCTTGGGGGCAATGCCCTGCTCCGCCCGGGCGTTCCGCACTGCAGAAGTCACAGCGCAGAGCTTGGTAAACCAACCTGGCTGGGAAATCGGGCGACATGACTGGCCGGTCTGTACGCCAACATGGAATCGAGGGTAAAAGTGTCGCTTGCGCAGGACTTCATGACTCTGGGACTTGTGATGATGCTAGCAACGTTCTTGGCTGACAAACCTAGGACCATCAACTCAGGTCGGCACTGCATGTGCTTGAGAAATTTTGCAAGAACTGTCGGCATCATGAGCACAAAGAACAGCTCGAAACTCGAAGTGCGTGCCAGGATAGTATACGAACAGGTGTTACTACACAGATTCGGCGAAGAGATCCACTCACAAAGCTTCTACTTCTGCTTCGCAGCCCAGGGGACCTTCGGCCTCCTTGTCGCGTTTCGTGGCAGGCTGAGGCCTGAGTTCGCTCGGAAAGCACAGAGAGGTTGCCATCCTGGGCCCTCGAAGGTGCCCCCCAAGTCTCCGTAAGCACCGCACCAAGCGCTAATCATCAAAGACCGCGGAGACCTGATCGGCATTGCTGCACTGTCCGAGAACCCTCTCTGGAACCGAAATTGGACTGTGACTCCGCGACTCCGCTTAGACGACAGGGGCGTTGCCACCAGAAGCAGATCTGCACGGACTATGGGACTTCCAGTCTCGGCTTCAGGCGACTTGGTACGTGGCAGCCGTTGCCAGACTGCCTCGTGGGAAAGAAAGCATAGACAATGGCACCGAGAACATCCGGATGCTGCCAGTTCATGTGTGTATATCTATATCTATATCTATATCTATATCTATATCTATATATACATATATATATGTATATATATATACATACATACATAGCTACAGAAAGTTACAGTTCTCACGGAAGACCCTCGAAGGGAAGCGCCTGCAGGGACAGCTCTCATGAAGTGAACACTCAGTTGAGATAGCCATGAATGTGCTATGCTTCTCCGCCTCGGTCACGAACGGCATGAAGGGGTGCAGAAGCTTCAAAGATACCTGCTCTGGCCAAGAAGAGAAGCGGCTCCGAAAGCTCACGCTACCAAAAGCAACACAGCTTTTTGAAGTGGGCGATTCTAAAGTAGAGATCCCCCGGAAACGGCCTCCAGGAGGTAGAGCAAAACCTTCTGCGCTGTGGCGGCCTTTGGCTCAGACGAGGAAGCCTTTCTATCAGTCGAACGCTACCTCCTGCTAACACACAAGCTTGGTAAGCCTGCAGGCAGCGCTACTGATTCGGCGCCCTCGATCATGCTCCTGCCCTGTCAGCACATGAATCGCCCTAAACCCCGACCCACGAACCCAAGTCCTAAACTCTTCACCCAAACCCCAAGCCCAAAGCTCACAATCCAAAACGACTGTAAAGCCATGAACCCTAACCCCCTCTGAAAACCAGGCATGCAAAGGACCCAAGCCTCGGGGCTCTTCGGATCTCCACCTCCGCAGATGCCCAGCCCAGAGGGCAGGGAGAGTGTGTCTGCAAAATGCATGTATTACACATACACATGTGTATACTTTTATATATACATACATGTACATACATACACACACATATCATATATATATATACATATACACACACATACACATACATATGTATATATACACACACATACAGACCCACATAAACTTCCACTGATGCGCTCATATACAGTCCCCATCTGCTTTTGTTCATGTCATATTGTGTCGTGTTATACTATGCATTTATATGTTATACAGCACTGTATGATGCTTCATTATAGTATGTTATATGGTGCGTTGTTATTTTGGTAGGATTGCATGATACTTTGTCGATATTGCTCGATTCAGTTCTATTCCTGTATATCATAATATATCACAACAACATTAGGTTAGGTTAGATCATGTCATGTGGCACCACTGTACATGGTCGTATGTTCTACTATATCACATATCTACAATTCTATTTACAATACATACATACATTTTCATGCTATATGACATCATATCATACTATACCATGTATACCGCATTATACGATATTCCATTATATCATATAGATATTTTAACTCATTTCTATTCGACTATATTCTGTTATACCACGACACGTTAGATTAGATTATATCATTACATATTACATTACTGGGTACAGTATCTTATATCATATTATGCTATCTTATGTCATCTTTTATTGCATGATACTGCATTCTGCTGTATTACATTGTGCTAAATTGTATTATACGGTATTCTGTTATAGTGCGTTATGCTACAGTATATTCTACATTGTTATTACATTGCATAATATAAGATGCGCTATATTACACATAGTATACTATGATAGTTTGTATTACATGGTGCTGTATGGCACTTTGATGTTTGTATATTATATTACACACACGAGTGTATATGGACCTGTAAACATGTGTCTATATGCGCATGCTGCACATGTATGCATATGTGTGTTCATGTGTATGTGTGCATGCGTGTACCTGTATACTTGTGTATGTGTTTACGCCTGTAGGTGCACGTTTGTATGTGCGAATGTGTGCATGTATGTATGAACTAATGCATGTATGTATGTTTGTACGTATGTATGTATATATGTATGTATGTACGTATGCATGCGTATGTGTATGTGTGTGTAGGTATCAGTACCAGTATACAAGAGCGAAGACATACATAAATCAATACACATGCACGTCAATGCCTAAAAAGCAAAACATGAGCACATGAAGAAGACAGAACCATGCATGCATATGTACTTACGTATGTACGTATGTTTCTGTGTATGTGGTTTTTATGTATACATACAGGCAGATATTCATACATACATACATACATACATACATACATACATACATACATACATAAAAGTACACATGCATATGTACATGCATTTCTGAAGACGGTAAAGCTCTGTGATTCCGCCGAGATTCCGATGTTCGAACACGTGACGACAAACTTAGCGCAGTGCCTGGAGTTTGTGTCCATTCAACATGGTGGCGTCGAAAGCATAGAAATTAGAATTCAGCCCAAAACCTTCCCGCCGAAGCCTTGAACTCCGAAACCCAAAGCCTGATCTCTAATGCATAGCATCCGATCCCAGCTCGGGTGAGGACCGAGATGATCTTGTAGCCGGGTCTTAGAAGCTTCCACCTGTTGTGGGAAGGGATCCGAGATTCAGGGACTCATACTAGACTCTTTGGGGGGTTAGGGTGCATATGGGAGTTTCAGAAACTATGTTACACATGAAACGGCTAAGCCGGCTAAGCAAGGTGCAGGCTTACAGCCGACAGTTACCACAGACCTCCAATGTCAGCTGAGATGTCTTTTAGCGCGCTATACCTCGGACACTGCCAGGTGTGCATGCGCAGAGATTCAGAGTCAACGTGAACAGATGCTAGCATGCAGCAAGACAGCGCATGAAGTCTCACGAGGTCGAGAGGTTTTACCAGATGCTGACGTGTTCGAGGTTCAGGTTCTGGGACTAGGAGTCCAGCTTCGCACGCTAGGTCCGCTAGGTATCAGTAAGAGCTGACCTTTTTGCGTGCGCGGTCATTTGAAAGCCAGGCTGCAACCGATGTTGCAAGTTGGCGATCCCATGCATCCGTTGGCCGAATTAAGGTGCGACTTTACAATGAGTTGCAAAACTCTTCATTGATCATTCACTCCAGGTTATCTGAAGTGAACAGTGCTCAAGTCGACATACAGAGTTGGGCGGTACTTCTTATCCATGCTGTGGATGGTGGTATATCAAGTACGGTATGGAGAACACTCCTTACTGCCGATCTCTCGCGGCGTTGGCTGTGCTGCCCTCATGTTGAACTTCTGTCAACGTTGTCGGCCAAAGAAAAAGCAACACTGCGGAAGAAGATTCTTTGAGGTGCACACCCGACCTCGACGAATCTACTTCGCAGTCGCCCAGACGCTGAGGCAGGCTGTACAATTGCCACTGAGCTGCATAACTGGCTTTGCCACATAGTGTAGACTCGGGAACTGTTCTGCATCTGAGGCTTCCCTTCACAGCGGTCGGTAGTAACTTCATCGACTCTGCTTAACCTCGGCACCTTCAAGGGGCCCCTGTGTCAGAACAAAGCCCGAAGTCCTCCTGTGCTGCCGTAAGGCAATAACGAGTTGCACAGTTGTAGAAGAGGATCTACCAGTACACCATTCGCACCTCAACATCCTTCAGGTCCAGCAGTTGACTGCGACGGTCAAGCGAGATCTTGCCTCAAGAAGATGACCGACAATTACATGTCCCCAGGCCTCTCGGGGCTCAAGATGACAAGATGCTACCATTTTTTCTACCCTGAACCAGCGGAAGGCGCGTGGCGCCGAAAAAACCGTCGCAAGCACATACTAGCCGCTGCTTCTTGCTGCCGAGGTTCCCAAATAGTACCAGAAAGTCGCCACTATCTTGGTGACCCACACCTGCATGTCCCACACTGACGTGGCGATCAAGCTATGTATGTCGTGACTCCCTGACACCGTGAACTGTGTCCGGATGGCCTGCACAAAAGCGAAGAGAATCGTCCAAAGCCAGAATGTCCACGCAGCCAAAGCTATTTGAACGATGCACTCGAAGATGCAGAAGGCCAGATAAACCTTAGACAGCACACGCGGGTGGGACGACCAAAGGCCAAACGTTGGGGCACTCTTCGGGTTTTGGTGATCCGGTGTGACTGTTCGAGCCCGAGTGACACGAAGGGTTCTCATCAGCACAACCCACTAAAACCGCTCCTGAACGCCAATCCCGACAGCATCGTGGTCCTCCTACCCGAACCCTATACTGCGAACACCCCTGAAAGAACCATCTGCCGACATGTAGCCGCCTTCCTTCTGAACTCAATGCCAGGAAGCCGTCACTAGTGCGCGGTTCAGGTGCTTAGCGCCGATCAAGCCGCTGACGGGGCCTGCTCTTGAGGGCTTCCGGAAGTATAGGCTTCTCAACCTGGAACCTTCGTTGGGGCCGTCATAGAAATATTATGTACTCTATGTCAGACTATGCATGTGTATATATATATACATATATGTATACATATATAAATGTTTGTGTATTCATATATATATATATCTTATCATATATATATATGTACTACATACATATATACACACGTATATATATATATATACATATGTATATGCTGTGACATAAACACTGATAGCAAAAAAAGAAGAATCGCAGCGAGTTAAACTACAGTAGAAGCAAAGTTGCAAGGGGGGGGTCTGTACCTAGACATGATTCGCGATCAATCACGGGCCCACATCGTCCCGGCAGGGGCCCAGGAAGGCTTCGGGTCGTTATCCCCGCCCTGGTGACCCAGGCAAACCGACAGACCTGCACTCATCACTAGAGCTCCATTCCGAAGCAGCCTCCTTGCTTCGTGGGAGTCTGTGCATGACAGCGCATGGACGGGATGAGTTGTTTACTTTACGACGTTCTCTTGGAGACTCTTTGTATCTGTTTCGGAAGGAGGGTGGCCTCTTGCTTTCACAGGGGGTTGCAAAGTTTGCCCCTCCCTCTGGGCTGGCCTAGAGTGAAGACCAAAAGAATCAGCGACCAGTGGCCCCACCTGCAGAAGCAGACTCTTTCCCGCGTCCGACCCAACTCGCGACACTCCCAGCTTGAGTCGTCAAAACCGACTACTTGGGACCTTCCGAAAAGCAGGGTACCTTATTTTGGCGTTCTTATAATAAGGATCCTACAATGCAGGGTACTATATTGGCGTCCCTTATTGTCGGAAACTCTCACTTCACGCTCTAACAGCCTTCAAACAACGCTTCACGGGTCAGGTAAGCCCGGCAAAGCTTGCAGTTACAAGAGCGCATGAAAGCAAAGTATCACCAAACGAGGCAACGCGTCCTGGAGCCCAATCTCCATGCCGACATGAGCCCATCACGTTTGAAAGGGTCTGTCTCTTCTTGCCTGGTATCCCAGACGACGGCGGTGATCACGTTCATCACCTCAAGCTACGCCATGACATTGGCGAAAGCAAAGATACCGCATCGCCTTCCTACGCGAATGAACATCGAACTGCCAAAACATCTGGATAGCCATGTAATGGCAACAGAATGTCAAGGAGCTGGCGCTCCAGATGATACTACCTACATACAGCTGGCAGACTCGCCAGGTAAACGTGCGTACTGATGATCGGAACTTGGATGGAACGCATGGGCGGCGGCTTCCAGCCACAGAGTCCTAACCAAGGAATCAAGCTCTTCGACGAACGAGGCTTGGTAAAAACAAACACACACACACGAAAAGCGAAACTGGAAAGCCGGGATAGAACCAACTACTACTCCCTAACGCCTTGCCGATACAACTAAGACAGTGGGCTGAGGCATGCAGACAAGACTCCCTGCATTTAGAAATTTAGATGTTAAGCTGCTCTGGCAGAGCCAAGCTTACAAGTTGACAAGGGCGCACTGGTTCAGAAATCATGAGAACTCATGGAACTCCTGACCCGGTAGTAGCGGCATTGCACCGGCTCCTTTGATCCGTTTCTGCTTTCTTTGTTGTTCTATCTGTCTCCTGCCTGCGTAATGTTCCTCTTCCAGTAGCAAGGGTACTGCCTTAGACTGATGTACCGCTATCTTTACAGTCTCAACGTGGTCGTCGTCATCGTCGTCCTCCTCCCCTCCTCCTCCTCGTCCTGAGTACTGCCTCTCCTACTTCTACTACGACGACGACTGTAGTGACTGAGTCAGTATCACATCAGCTTGCGCCTGATAATGATAACCTGAAGGCGGCTAGGACAGGCTCCGACAGGCCAATGCACCGTGACCAGGAGGTTGATGAAGGCGAAGCACATGACTGCTGTGCGGTAGTTCAGGATGATCAGCTCCTGCCGGTGTGGTTTATGGGGCTCGCGACCATCAAGGTTGAGGAGGCTTGTAAATCCTTTCTTGTGGCTTTCCTGCATCTTCCAGCCCCCTCAAGCCGAAATCCTCTCCAGTCTGACAATCGCAGCAGTGCCTCCGGAGGAAGCGTGAAGACGGGCATTGGGACCGCGTACTGCGAAGCTCCCACGACCCCGGGGCTCGGGCCTGGCACTAGGACATCTGAAGGACGCATTGAAGAGAGGGCGGCAGGGTAATCTCACCCGGGTTCAGGACAAGACAATGTTCAAGAAAATGCCGTGGGTCGAGGTATGTAGCGCCATTGGCTCAAGGGCTGTTCTGCCTCTGAGACTCTGGTGTCATACAACAGGCTACAGTCACACGACTTTGAAACTGGGCATCTACGTCAGTCTACGTATACTACGATAATGCATCACCATGCATGCCTGGATTCGGATCATCGTCAGCATGATGTGGCTCAGTTACACACTTGCTGGCAACAGCTGTGCCACTAGCAGCAGATGCCAATCGGCGGAGCCAAAACAGAAGCTGAACCCATCCCGGCTAAACGACACGACAAACCTTTCAACTCTCAGTTGTAAACATGCCAAGCTCACCGACCTGGCCGACCGGGATACCCTGTACCTTGGAATGTCTTGCACACTATGCGTATACTTGTCTAGGCTCTGCTGTACGATTCTATACCATATTTTACGATACAGATGTTTTGGCGTGATCCGTCCGGGGTTGCACTGGCTCAGCCCACTCCACTCGGCCGCTTTCAATCCCGGAGATGGCTCCTGTTTCCAAGAGGACTCCTGTTAAGGGTTACTGCAAGGGTTGCTATAAGGACGTAGGGCTTAGGAACAAAAAACGACCGGACGGAGTATTCAAAGCCAAGATGCCACCGGCATCTCTCCACGCTCTGCATCCGGCCTATCCACGGCACGAGATTTTGGATTCTCGGCATTTATGGCTCAGTGTTGTTGTTTGTATATTGCTATTTTTAAGACTATATGACTATGGTCTGTTTTTCGAACTACAGGACCGACGTGCAGGCATCCAGGGAAATATTGCATTGCAACGATTTGAGGGGTCGAGGCCACTGCTCTACGAGTCCGGGACCTAGATAGGGTGCTGTCACAAGCCACATAGACTCGTCAGCCTGTCCTATACTACACTATACCGCGGCATACTACACTATGCTAAGCTAAGGTATAGTATGCTATGCTATACCATACTAGACTATACTTTCCTATACGTTACAAGGCAAACCTACTTCATTATACTATGACTATATCCGACTCTACTCTACTCCACTCCACTCCACTACACTATACTATGTTATACCTATATGACTCTACTATACTATAGGCAGTACTATACTATACTCCACTCTAGTATACTATGCTAGATTTTTAGCGTGCTATCTGAACTGTGCTGTGCTGTTCCTTGCAAGGCTATGCTGTGCTAAACTCTACTATACTCTACTTTGCATGCTTTATTGTATCAGACTAGACCATGCCATGCTATACTATACTATAATGTACTACACTCCATTATTCTGTACTATACTCTACTCAACTCGACTGCTACTCTACTATGAGCTACCATACTACATGGTACTATACTGTAGTATGCAATGCTATGCTATTTTTTGCTATTGTACTCGGCTGCTACGTGATAAAACTAGTCCAACAACAATCTCAAATGGACTATATTCATCGTAATCGGAATTGAGCAAGCAATCATAAGAAACAGGTGCAATAAGAATGCCTGCCTGACCGCCGCCATCATAAGCAAGTGAGCTCAGGAGCGCGTTGGGCGCGAGTGTAGCAATATCTGTGACGGGCTTGAGGGGCAAACGGCCAACGGCAAAAAGAGAGATGCGCGAAATCTTGAACCCACACATGGATGCTGATCCATTGTCGGAGTTTAAAGGGGGGGGGGGGAAATTGTGGGAACCCCAGTCCGTGGTTTTGACAGCACGAACCATAGTGCTTCACCGAAAGTAAAGCTGCATTGAATCTCCTACTGCTGAGAGCACGGTCAAACCAACGCTGGTAATCACAGCCCGCTGTGATACACTTCCCCGCCCGTGTGCAAGTATGTTTTCGGCATCGCGGAAGTCAGGACGTATCAATAAAACCAGGGGAATCAAGACCAGGGAAGGAGAAAAGCGGAAAGCAGCATCGAAGCATTCTAGCAGCCGAACGCCAGCTCCGAGCTCCCGGAACCCCAAAAAAAAACAGGTCGCGGATACATACCAGGACGCAACATCCTCCTGCAGGAACTCCTTGATCTCCTGTTCAAGAAAAGCAGCGAGGGCGGGGGTTTTAGGCATGTCATTCAAGGACCGGCATCGAGGCCAGCAAAAGAATGCCCAAAAGCAAAGCCTCAACTTTCGAGCGCATGTCAAGAAGCCCTGCATGCAGATGAGGCTCAACACCCTCAAGCTGCCGAATCAAGTCAACCCAAGGAGATGACCTTGCTCCAAAAACCCAAGAAGTGGCTGCAAGAGCTCATTGGAAGCCTCAGAAGGTAGGAAGGATTAAGGATCCCTTATATAAGGACCCTCATTTTTGGATTTCCCTTGCTACCTTCATCCCACCCTTGGAGCCCTTGGAGCTCAGCCTTCGTGGGTGGTGCAAAGCGGTTAGCCGTCAAGGCCGCCGTGACGCTCTCGCAAAGGCCATGGCACCTGCAGAGATTCCCTCTTCGGCTCAAGGCCAACATTAAATTAAGGTTTCAGGGTTTAGGGTTTAGGGTATTATTTGGGGCATCCTCGTTGCTGACCGTGGCTTCGTAGGGGCCCAGCAGTGGCGGTGCATCATCGGCACCCTGTCCGTTTCCCAGCTAGCTTGGATTTCATTCTTGTCATTCTATATCTGCGAAAGGCCTCATAACGAGGGCCGCACAAGGAATTCGCAACAAGAAGCTCTTATCGCTGCTACAGGCGTGCTAGAACACCGGTTTCAACGCCCTATTATCCCATTAAACTGCAAAGCCCCCTTAAACAAACGCCTGTAAAACCCCCATTTTCCTCCTGTTCGAATGCCTTGAAAACGCCCCTGTAAAACCCAGGAGGTCCACTGGGCTCCAAGCTTTGAGAGCAATGCCCTTTCCAGCCAGGGCCTCGCAGCTCAAGGTGCGGGCTGGGCTCCCCGAAACTCTTTAAAACGTGTCATTGCTACTACGCTAATGATGATGATGATGATGGTTGTTGTTAGTGTCAGCTTCGTTGATACAAGTACTACTGTTGTTGGTATTGTTTATGTACAGAACTGCCCTTTATTCTTAGGCCCTAGGCAGTTTAGGGTATGCGTGGGGCTTGTGTTGAATTCTGGAAGGTGTTTAAGGCAAAACGTGTGTTTTAACAGCTGTTTAAGGCCCTGCAAAAAGTAAGGCTTTAGCAGGGTTTCGGGGCTTCCTAAGCTTTCTGTCGGGTTTGGGTGTAACTTCGAAGTTCAGGGTCCGGTGCCTCCAGTCCGAGGTCCGGCAAAGAGGTGGACTGACAGGGTGAAGGGATCCGTCCGACTCTGAAGGCAGACTCTAACCTGGAGTTCTGGGGAGCCGTCTGACCTGCGCTGCATCGATACCTTCTGCACCGAAGGAAGCACTTACGGAAACATCTGGGACCTCCATCGCATCCCCTCTGAAACTACATCCTGAGCACCAACGGCGTTGAGGGCTCAGCATGGAGGCGATCTCCTCCTCCGAGAACTGCATCCCACTCTCGAAGTTCTGAGCGAGCTTTTGGACAAGACAGAGCTTCGACGCGGTTGTGATGGCAGGGCTTCAAAAGCCAGGGGAGCCAGAGTACCACTAATGTTCTGAGGCTGCCAGGAACAGCCTATGGCAGCATGGGAGCCAATCGTTGCATGTGGCTCAGGTATGTGAAATGTCGTGCCGTCCTGGCATAAGCGCTCATCCTGAAACATCTCAGCCGAGGCCCAGGCCGTGGCAATGGTCTCAGCATTCTTCTCGTGCTCTGTAATGATGAATCTTCCTACGTTCCAGATCTTGTTCGCGAAGGCCTCCGAGTGCTGAGTCATGATGAAGCCGCATCATGTTTGAGACCGTCTCAAGCTAGGAGGCCCTCATGCATCATAATACTACTACAGCTCTCCAGTACTCTCATCTTTGAGAAGCCATTTGTGGGAAAAAGCCGACTCTGCAAAGGAGCCCTTGCTGGGCAATCGCCAGGCCTTGGCATTCTCTAGGCCGCCTTTGCTGACCGGAACGTCCATTCCAGGGACCTTGCCGAGAGCGAATTTAGGCTGTAGTTGCTGTAGCTATAGGTTAAAAGGGTTCCCTTACGAGTAACTGTAGGTCTTCGCAGAATTCCTCCGGTGATGCAAATCTGCCCGCATTCACGCGATGGCTGTCAAGCCCAAAGGCAACAAAAAAACAATAAACTCGAAGCTCTCTCGGACCGCTGCACTGCTCGTAAGCAGGGCGTACCGCAGCGCGTCCGTGCCATAGTCAGCAATGGCATCCAAAGGGTCCACAACATTGCCTGCCACGGAGGCTCGCTCACTGCGTGTTCGTGCGCGTTTGTGTGCGCATTTGTGTGCCTGTCTGTCACAGCAGGCCCCTGTTAGCATAAATTGTGTGACATTGTCGGCAAAAATATTCTGAGGCTACGATTACGATTGCTATCAGTAATTAATGTGGCGGCTCGTTTAATGGACCCCCC